CCCAAATGGTGGATTGTAGATAACAGTCAGGCCGCGGGTTGTCAAGCCCGTATAGATCTATACACAAACACCATGCTTTCCCTCCAAGGGATTCTGGTATATAATACAGGACTTGAAATGTGTACTCGATCGTACGTGAAGTTAATGTCTCACAAAACTTAGTATAAAACAGATTTACGTGTGAAAACGTTCGTTCGTTATTGTATATGAAAGTAGCTTCTTGAAATAGTATTTCCATGTATGTAAAAGTTCGTAGTATTCTCATAAAACTATACCTATTATAGTTTTCTAAAAGTGTGTTTCGTTTGTATAATAAACCCTTAGTGAAAATGTTCACTTGTTATGAAAAGTGTACTATAAGCAAGTATCTGATATATATATAAATACATAAATCGTTTCTTATTTCAAAAGATAAAATGTTGTCGTGGTATAATTTGCGTATGAAAGTTTCCCTTTGATAGTTTCAAATCACATATGATTCCTTTGATAAAACGCGTAAAGTGAAAGTTTATATAACACACGATAATAATCGAGTGTTTTACTTGTATTCCCCCCCTTAAAAGCATGTAAAATTACTCATAAAACATTTAAAAGTGTGAATTATAGGGGTATGAACTCACTTGTAAGATCGGAGGTTGCGGGATGAAAACCGGACAAAATTTCGGCTCGAGAAGTGGATTTCCTCGGGATTCTCGGGAATCTCAGGAGCACAAACAACCTTCGGGACTCGAGCAAAGTGATCGGGGCTTCGAGGTAGTACGGGCACGGAAAACGAGGCAAGATCGTAAGAGAAATGAGAGAAATGGTGTGTTTTTCCCGGAACCCTCGCATCCTTTTTATAGGGGGCTGAGAGACCTCGGTATGCGGGGAGTACTCGTGCGTCATGTGTGACCGAGTCCTCGACTGCCTCGGCTTCGGATGGGACGCGACGGGTAGGCTCGCATAGGGGCGATGTGGATGAACCGAGGCCAAGGACTCGAGTACGCGGGGCGTACGGATGTACGCGGCGCGTAATTCGGGTGGACCCGGTGACTCACCCTTCGGATAATACCGAATTCTTGAATTAAATTTATATATTAATTATTTAGCAAACTTCAAAAATTCATATCTTCTTCATACGAACTCCGTTTTCGACGTTCTTTATATCCCCGCGAAGGTGAGACCATACTCTACAACTTTCGTTTAGATTCCGTCGGCAAATTCCGAAATTATTTTTATTATTTATTTTTAAAAGGTCGCGGTAAGAAAATTTCTTTAGAAATTCATAACTTCTTTATCTGGCGCCCGTTTTTTCTAGACTTTTTACCGCTGAAATACCATTGTTAAGACCTTCGATTCTCGTTTAGGTCATTCCGGTCAAAAGTCGTTCAATCTCTGATTCGAGTTTTTAGCCGTCTGCCGTTAAGCCGAACTTGAAAAATTCCTAACTTTCTTATACGAAGTCGGATTTGGGCGTTCTTTTTACGTACGATCACGGTTTAATGACTTCTAACATAATAGGTAATTTAATTAGTGATTTTTGGATATTTTATTTTCGAAGTAAATTTTATTACAACTAACGTGGTTACAATACTTGACTTTTTAGGTTGTTTACATGTAGTTGAAATATCGGGTTGTCACATCATTCCCCTTGACGAAATTGAAATCAATGAGAATCTCCTGTTCGTCGAAGAACTAGTCGAAATCATGGACAGGGAGGTGAAGTGTACTACGCAAAGTCGCGTCTCGATCGTGAGAGTACAGTGGAACGCGAAGCGTGGGCAAGAATTCACGTGGGAACGCGAAGACCAAATGAAGCAAAAGTACCCTCACCTATTCTAGCATTCTCAAATCTATCTTTCAAAAGAATTTCGGGACGAAATTCCCTCTAATGGGGAGATGATGTCACAACCTAGAAATTTTTGTACCTTGTAGATTACAACAATTAAGCCAAAGTATGATCAAAGACTCAAGAGCATGTATGATGCATACTCTTTGACAATAAAATTTCAAACAAACACCCCATGCAAGCATTTCAAGTAGTCAATAAGCAATTGGAAACCCTAGAAGTCCTGGTTTAAGTCCATTTTGGACTAGGACTTCCTTATTGGGCTTAATGGACCAATAAGCTTCTAATTTGACCATCTTGGGCATAGAACTCTTAAATGGGCTCTAATTGGACCCACTTTCATTTATTTTACCATTTTGGGCCATATTGGGCCTAGAATGAAATAAAATACCTTAATGGACCTTATTGGACCATAACAAATTCAATTAACCTAAATGGGCCATAACAATTTATTCTCTTTGATAAATAGGACCGTGAGACACCTAGGAGTCTGATGGGCCGAAAAGCAATCAATATGAGCCAATGATTTGGATTTAAGCACCAAAGGCCCAAATCTCCATCTCTCTCCTCTATCTCTCTGCACAAGTAGTAATAAAAAAAGGGGGGGAGAAAGAAAAGAAGAATGTGAGAATTAAGGAGGATTAGCCACCTCCTTAATACATGTGGGATATCCAAGCAAATATCACATGTATCCATGCATAACCTTTAACTTCCCTCTCTCTCTTCTTCTTCTATTACTCTTGGCCGAGAGTATCACACACCCATACATAATCATTCACTTAAGCACTCTCAAGAACACACCACAAATCCCTTCACTTCCCCTTCAAAAATTTCAAGATTTAAGGACTTTGCAAGGAGGATTCTTCACAAAAATCATCATCTTAGGTAAGTTGATGCTTGGATCCACACTCTAGACTCCTTGCTCTATCAAAAATCTCTTCTTAAGTCATGTGAAATCATGATCTTGCATCTAAGAACCCCCTAAATTCGAGATCTTCCAAGAAAGGTTGCTAGGGCCGAAAATAACAACAAACTCTTCTCTTTTCTTCATCAAAAACCAAATCCACACCCAAGGTGAGCTTCATACCCCCTTAATTTCGGTTTTTATAAGTTTTGTGGGGGAGAATACAAGCAAATGTGTAGATCTATGAGTAAATGTATGCCTTGTGTATTTTTATGCTTATATGTATGATTTTATGTGATTTGTGATGTTTATGTTAGCCCAAAAGAACCTAAAAACCGAGAATTACAATATGAGGAATGAAATAAGTATAACTTATATCATTTCATACTAATCAAGTCTAGAAAAAGAGTTTAGTTTGCTAAAATGAACATTTTTTGACTTAAAACCCATTTTTGGACTCAAAATGTCAAAAATACAAAACTAAGGGGCCCAAAATGACAAAAGGTAATTTATGGAGGTTGAAACAAGTCCAAACAGTTTTTAAGATAATTTTTCTGAATAAAAATACTTTATAGGGGATTAAAATGTGAATTTTAAACATAATGGGCTAAAAATGGGCTTTTCGGCCCAATAAGCCCAAATTGCGAAATTTTCGAAATATAGGGGCTGAAAATGCAAGTTCTGTAAAACAGGGGACTACAAGTGTATTGAAACTATTTTGAAGGTCAAAAATGCTTTTCAAATTCAAAAGGGATCAAAAATGCAAAAATTTACCATTTTGGGCCAAAATTGTATAGATTGCGAAAAATGGGGGTTCCAACCGAGAAAACCTCATTTTGAAGGACTTAAGCTGTTTATTAAGTAAATCTTGGCTGAAAATGTCTTTTTCAATAAGTTTTGATGCTAAAGTGTCAAGAAAAATAGCTAGGGACTAAAATGGAAATTATTTTATATAAAGGGTTAAAAGTGTATATTTTATCCAAGTAGGGTCACAAAATGGTAAACTTTTACTTATGAACAAATAAATCCCATTAGATAAAATACGAGCACTACGACTACCGGTGAAACATAATTACAAATACACCTTCAACATCATTATCGTTACCAAACGATTTGATTCGGTCTCGAATCAATTACAAAACAAAAATCAACAAACAATAGTACTCAAATAAAAACGTGAAATTTTCGAGAAGTCAATACACAATCTTTGGGCTTGAAAGTTTCAAATCGTGCTTGTTGGGCCTAGCTAGCCCAATGACATGATCTTTAGGCCCGAAGGGAACACGCTTACATGTTATTGGGCTTCTATGACCTAATTCCATGTAAAAGGATTTTCAATAGCTTTATTGTGCTGTTGGGCCCCAAGGGTCCATTAGTACTGCTAGCAAAGTCGAGAAGTCAAATGTGAGTCGGGCCAAGTGCCTTTCACATTCACGATAGCCTTCAATGACTTAAGGAAATAATGAGGGCTTCGTACCCTCTTTTCTCCTCAGATGTGGGATTATCAGAAGTCAGGGTGGTTGGATTAAGTGAGTCTTACGGACGACGCCAAAAGGATCGTTTGTAATTGGTAGTTATAAACTAGTCATTTTCGTTAATGCGTGATTATAACGACTCACAACCCATAATTAATCCAATGTCACCTGGAATTATCGGAAACAATCGTCGTATCGGTATAACAATATATAAGACATGTAATTCTATGTATTGGGAAAACATCAGGTTTTCCCGGGAAATCAACACTTTTAACTATGTGATGTATACAAGGTTTAACAATTATACACGCTTACAAAAATCGACAAGCATACTACGGATCTCCACACTTTTTTCTTATATACAATACTTGTTTCAGAAAATATCATATTTTCTGGGTTTTCAAACTTGACAAAAATCATTATCTTTCAAACATGACTTATGAACTCACCAACATTTCATATGTTGACGTTTTTCAAAATAGTTGTATTCTCAGGTAGAAGGTAAATCGAAGAATAGGTATCCAGTGATGTCTTGGTGTTTTGTTTAAATTAGTATCGTACGATTTAAGTATTGGAAATGTAATGTTTAAAAAATGTACCGAATGTAAACAATATCTGTTGTAATATTTCAATGCATGGTGGTGAATGATGTTATGATTCATGTATATTCATTGTGATGGCATTCAATTAAGTCACAATAGCCCTCGGATGTTTCCGCCGTCTGGTTCTGGGGTGTGACAAAATCACTGGGTTAAATCAATCTCCCTCTTAGTCGGAGCTGCTTTTTTTGCCGATGTCTTCCCCTTCACCTCTTCATCCTTATCATCCAGCAACACAAAACCTAGAAGTCATTCAATGGCGGAGCGAGAGGTATTACAGACGGAGAGTTCCATCGACTAACACCAACAAAAGATCGCCACCACCATCGTTTGTTGTTGCCGCCGATCTCCACCATCAATTGGAGAGTTCCGCCGTTCTCTACCCTCAATCGACGTCTAATTCTTTACACATTCTCCTCCCTCTCGATGTTGCTAATCTGATATTCTCCTTTCATATCCAAAGGAGAATCCTCATTTCTGGCTCCATACATTACCCGAGAAGCACCCTTGAAGTAATTCCTTTTATACCCTTATTGCTAAACTGAAATTTCTTTATACTCTGTGTTTGTGTTCTTGATGTGTTGTGTTGTATATGTGGGAAGATCTTGTAATTAAAGCGAAAAATGGGGGCTTAGATGTCATTGATACTTATGTGTTTTGGAATGTTCATGAGCCTTCCCCTGGCACTGTAAGTTCTGTAAGCAAAGATGTTTTCTCCATTAAAGTGCGTGTCGTTGATTTCAAATTTTGCTGAAAGTTTTCTTCTTTATTGTTTATAATTTCAGTATAGTTTCAGTGGAAGATATGATATTGTAAGGTTTATAAAGATAGTAGCAAGAAATGGACTTTATGTGAATTTACGCATTGGACCTTATGTTTGTGCTGAATGGAATTTCAGGTTTTTGAATTTTTTCAAGATCCACCTTTCGTTGTGTTTTATTTCTAGCACATTCTGTTTTTGCAGTTTCTTGATGTTTGACTTCTAAATTTCAAGCTTTTGTTGATTCTGTGTAGGGGTTTTCTTGTATGGTTAAAATATGTTCCTGGTATCAACTTCAGAACACAATGAGCCATTTAAGGTTTTATTTTTTTCTCACTCACAGTTTTCATGGAGGAATATTGTTGAATGAAAAATATAACCATGACTTTGTGGCTTAATTACTTAATGTTAATAGGCAGCTATACAAGGATTCACACAGAAAATAGTTGGGATGCTGAAGGCTGAAAACCTGTTTGAATCACAAGGAGGTCCAATCATCCTCTCACAGGTTCTAAGTTGTTTGATTCACCTTTCCTTTATAACAATTAAGGACAAATGTCATTTTGGTTTATAGTGTTTCATTATTCAATTGAACTAGATTGAAAATGAGTATGGTGTACAAGGGAAGTCATTTGGAGCAGCCATAAAAGCGTACATAAATTGGGCTGTAAAAATGGCAGTTGAACTGAACATTGGAGTCCCAATGTGGAGCCATCAACCGTAGGTGGGCTGTTTGTTTCCAACATAATGCATATGGTAACTGAATTTTGAATTCCAATTCTATCATAATGGAATCACGAATTTCAATTCTGTTGGAATACAATATGGATATTTTCTCATCGATTTATGCACTGGATTTGTTTCCACAGAAATTGACGCTTGAAGAACGGACCACGAAATTCAAAGTGATTCTTAGTAACATTATTCTTTTAGAATGTATTATTGTCTTTGTTAGTTTTTGATGTTTTTATTCACGATTTTAAAGTTTTGTTTAGTTTTATTTTTTTAAAATAAATATAATTCTTAACAATTTTTACAAGTATTATATAAGAAATAATGTATTTCTGGTTTCTATTCTTCAATTGATTGTTCAATAATTTGTTATTCTACAAGAAGTTTTTAAAGTCGTGATCAAGAAATAGGTTCAAGTATATTTTTATTATTTATGGTTCAAGAATATTTTTATTTTTTAATATACTCATAAACATATTCTGTCAGAATCTCCGAATTAAAATAATTATAAATCCTGAAATTCGTAGAGAATATGATTCTAGCAGATTAAAATTGGGTTTAATTAAAAAAAAATTACGTTATTGTTAAAATTAAAGTAATTAAAAAAATTAGAATTTTAAAATCAAGAGAGTTAATTATCCTAAAAAAATATGGAATTTTACTTTTTTAAATTTATCTCAATTGTCTAAAATACCCTTAGAATTAGATGATATTTTTTAATTATCTTTAATTTAATAATATATATTAATTACTTTGGGTTAATACCTTAAAAACCATTATTTATACATCCTCGTTTCGATTTAACCCCAAATTTATTTTTTGTTCTTCATTTGCCATTATATTTTAGAAAACATTTTATTTTCGGACCTTTGACCGGTCATCAACAGGTAATGATGACGTGTCAGTTTTTGTATTTTTTTGTTTGCATTTGGCCCCAACATTTACGTATAAGTTTGCGTTTAACCCCAATATTTTTTGTTCTCTATTTGCCATTATTTTTTAGACAAAATTTCGTTTTAGCCATTGGTCAGTCACGAATAGATATTTTAAAACGTAAGAGTTGAAACTACGACTTCTCATTGAGGGTGAGACGTGTTACCTAGTAAGCCAATAACTTTTTTTTTTGTATTATCAATATTTGTTGTATTTAATCTACACATGTATTTTAAAATGAAGGAAAAATATCTAGTGTAAGTCTTGAATCTGTAACATCTAATAAACAATATGACATGCTAATCTTTAAGCTAATCAAAATTGTTAATTCATTCGTAATTCATCTAAAAACAATTGGTTATGTTTACCGACATATTTGTTAAGAAACCATATATTTCTAAAGAGTAAAAAATGTGTCTTCTCTTTAAGGGACGAGGTGTCTTACATGTTTACATTAAATTCAATATAACAAACATTGATAATACAAAAAAAGAATCATTAACTTACCATCTAACACGCCTCGTCCCTTAAAGAGAAGGCACATTTTTTACTCTTTAGAAATATATGGTTTCTTAACAAATATGTCGGTAAACATAACCAATTGTTTATAGATGAATTACGAATGGATTAACAATTTTGATTAGCTTAAAGATTAGCATGTCATATTGTTTATTAGATGTTACAGATTCAAGACTTACACTAGATATTTTTCCTTCATTTTAAAATACATGTGTAGATTAAATACAACAAACACTGATAATACAAAAAAAAAAAGTTATTGGCTTACTAGGTAACACGCCTCACCCTCAATGACAAGTCGTAGTTTCAACCCTTACGTTTTAAAATATCTATTCGTGACTGACCAATGGCTAAAACGAAATTTTGTCTAAAAAATAATGGAAAATGGGGAACAAAAAATATTGGGGTTAAACGCAAACTTATACGTAAATGTTGGGGCCAAATGCAAACAAAAAAATACAAAAACTGACACGTCATCATTACCTGTTGATGACCGGTCAAAGGTCCGAAAATGAAATGTTTTCTAAAATATAATGGCAAATGAAGAACAAAAAATAAATTTGGGGTTAAATCGAAACGAGGATGTATAAATAATGGTTTTTAAGTTATTAACCCAATTACTTTCTTAAATTAAGTAAAAATGATTAACCCACATTTATGCATAAAATAACACAATAATTATTTTAAATAGAATAACCTAAACATATATATATATATATATATATATATATATATATATATATATATATATATATATATATATATATATATATATATATATATATATATATATAAACCAAATTGTATATTTTAGTTGTCTATTGTGTTTGGTGTTTGGTGTCTATAGTTTTAAGAATATTATATAAGTTATTTGTTTACATTAGTCCATAACCATTACCACTTTAAAACACAAAATCAAAGCGTTACATAAATAGAATTCTTTTATAAATTAAAAACAACTATGTAACTAACTTATTTACCATACATCAAAATTACCTGATGTATTTTCTTATTTTAAAATATTAAAATTGAAAATTAAAAGAAATCGGTATATAATATTACTAATTTGTACCAACTAAATTTATTGATAACCAAATATAGTGATACAAAGTATACTTGGTATGGTACCTATAGAATTTTTTTTATATCAATTATAGTTGATACGGTATACGATTTAAGGAAAATGAATTGGTACGCTATCGATTCCACCCGTAGTCTAAGACAAACAATAAAAACTCCCAAAACCATATAAATAAATTCTCCATTTTATAACTTTGTATCCGTGTTAAAGAGAATCAACAGGCTTTTATCTTCATAATAAATTTCATTTACTATTATAGTACATCTTGTTTCCGTAACAAAAATTATTTGTAATAACACGATGATGCATGTTTAAAGCAATTCCCAATTCTACACGTCTTAATAAAATAATGTCATAAATCCTTTGAACCGAAATGGCAATTAAACGTGCCGTATCATAATGCTAAAAATGTGCCTGGATTGCATTTTATAATAATTCTGTAAAACATAATAATCTCAATTAAATAATTAGTTGCAGTAAAAGATGATATATAATAATATGATGTTTTAATGTACTTTTATTTCTCGAATATGTAACAATTAATAAGAATCTCGTGAATTAGATTAAAATAATATTAACTAGGTGATTTTATTTTATCACTAATAATCAACTTTCAACTTAATTATATTTAATATTCAAAAATGATTATTAAATCCCTAAATAATCATAAATAAACATTATTTATTCAAACATTTGAAAGCACCACCTAAATGTCTTCGATGAAATATTATCAATGCTGTGAACCAATATCATCAATAAATAGAAAAACTAACAATTAGACGGATCATCAAATCACTATAACTAAATCATCATTAACTTACGACGCAACGTTACACAATATTGCATAATAAACATAAATATATAAAATATATAACTAAACATAATAGCATCATTGTACAACAGATATTATGCGTTGAAATTACGAATGTATCATAGCTATATCATATAATTTTTTTGCGACCTAGAATCCATGTTAGAAAATATTGCATAATAAACATAAACATAAACTTTATTACTATTTTTTTGTGATGTGTGACGTGTGCCTCCACAGATTTAGGTATTCAATAGAACATTCAACTCAACCCTGAAACTACGCTACCAAGACAATATCATCGACAAAGCATACACTAAGGCACTTCCCTGGATCTCTCTAGATATATCATCTAAGATCAAGGCAAAAATATATAGGTTGGTGTCGAACCTTGATATAACTCGATTTGAACCATGAAATGATTAGTATCCCTGACTGGGTCTAAACACAAGTTATATATTGGAATACATTTATAAATAATCCTTACATATATCTTAGGGACTCCTCTAACGGCTAAGGTCCACCAACTTGCCTAATAAGGGACATTGTCCTAATTTGTCTCAAGGTCGATGAACATCGTATGTAGATCACTATTACAGTTCTCTATAAGGCGTCTAAGGTGGTGGATTATCTCACTCATAGACCTTCTAAAAATGAAACATAATTAAATCTTTGTAACAATCATGATGGTTAGCAACTCTCTCTCTCTCTCTCTCTCTCTCTCTCTCTCTCTCTCTCTCTCTCTCTCTCTCTCTCTCTCTCTCTCTCTCTCTCTCTCTCTCTCTCTCTCTCTCTCTCTCTCTCTCCTATAACAAAGTAACTTAATACTTCTATAGTTCCCAGAACTTTTGCATCTCCTTTGTTTTTATATATTGAGATCTTGGTACTTGATCTCCACCTCTCATGCATTCTAGCAATCTCTAATATGGTGTTAAATAAATAGGCGAGCCACTTAACTCATTCCCCACAAACAAATTTGATGTAACATGTATATAAATAAATTTTCTAACAGTTATCCTATTTAAAAAAAAAAAACAATTATAAATTTAACTAATTTGTTATCATCTATCTAAAACCATCTATAAAACTCACTCATTAATTTATCATTTTAAACAAACTTCATATTTTAATAAAACATATTACTAGGCAACAATGTTTGAATAAAATTATGTTAGATTATTACATGGAATATAAAAAATATGAAATATTTATTACATTATAGTTTAAAAAAGAGCATTCAAAATATTACATAGTCTTCGCAAGCTTATCTACTATAGTAAATGCAAGTTTTTTTGTTGCATGTCATACTCTTATTTAATTTGTCAAATGTTATTTTATGGTTTTTATATTTAAATAAATTTCATATAATACTTTAATGTAATAATTACAACAAATATATTAATAAATAAATATCAATTTCATTAAAGGGCTTACATTTTTATTAAAAATAACCAAATTAAAGCTCAATATTTTATTTTGTTTATTTATTTAATTTTAAAAAATAAAAAAATCAATTTTAATAATTTATTATTTTTTTTATTTTCTTATAAATCCAAAGTTCTTAAATATTTAGACCTTTATATTGTTTTAATTAACCCATTTAATACATGGGTCTTACACCAAGTATCTAATAAATACATTCTTATTA